GAGGACCGCCAGGCGGGACTGCAGCATGTCGTCCTGCACCATGTATCTGCTCAGTTTCTTACCCTCGGTACTTACTATTAATTGTTTTTCGGCGCGACCTAGTTCTTTCCCCAGTTTTAGGTTGGCAGCGACCCCCATCAGCTCGAGGACCGTCAGGTGGGGCTGCAGCATGTCGTCCTGCATGATGTAGCTGCTCAGTTTCTTGAACATTTTCATGTCTCGGTACTTACTATTATTTCTTTTTCCGCGCGACCTCGTTCCTTCCCCAGTTTGAGGTTGGCAGCGACTCCTATCAGCTCGAGGACCGTCAGGCGGGACTGCAGCATGTCGTCCTGCATGATGTATCTGCTCAGTTTCTTACTCTCGGTACTTACTATTAATTGTTTTTCGGCGCGACCTAGTTCTTTCCCCAGTTTGAGGTTCGCAGCGACCCCCATCAGCTCGAGGACCGCCAGGCGGGACTGCAGCATGTCGTCCTGCATCATGTATCTGCTCAGTTTCTTACTCTCGGTACTTACTATTAATTGTTATTCGGCGCGACCTCGTTCCTTCCCCAGTTTGAGGTTCGCAGCGACCTCCATCAGCTCGAGGACCGTCAGGTGGGGCTGCAGCATGTCGTCCTGCACCATGTATCTGCTCAGTTTCTTACCCTCGGTACTTACTATTAATTGTTTTTCGGCGAGACCTAGTTCCTTCCCCAGTTTGAGGTTTGCAGCGACCTCCATCAGCTCGAGGACCGTCAGGTGGGGCTGCAGCATGTCGTCCTGCATCGTGTATCTGCTCAGTTTCTTACTCTCGGTACTTACTATTAATTGTTATTCGGCGCGATCTAGTTCTTTCCCGAGTTTGAGGTTGGCAGCGACCCCCATCAGCTCGAGGACGTTCTGCATCATGTATATGCTCAGTTTCTTACTCTCGGTACTTACTATCAATTGTTTTTCGGCGCGACCTAGTTCTTTCCCCAGTTTGAGGTTCGCAGCGACCCCCATCAGCTCGAGGACCGCTAGGCGGGACTGCAGCATGTCGTCCTGCATGATGTAGCTGCTCAGTTTCTTGAACATTTTCATGTCTCGGTACTTACTATTATTTCTTTTTCCGCGCGACCTAGTTCCTTCCCCAGTTTGAGGTTCGCAGCGACCCCCATCAGCTCGAGGACGTCCTGCATCATGCATTTGCTCAGTTTCTTACTCTCGGTACTTACTATTAATAGTTTCTCGGCGCGATCTAGTTCTTTCCCCAGTTTGAGGTTCGCAGCGACCCCCATCAGCTCGAGGACCGCCAGGCGGGACCGCAGCATGTCGTCCTGCATGATGTATCTGCTCAGTTTCTTACCCTCGGTACTTACTATTATTTCTTTTTCCGCGCGACCTAGTTCCTTCCCCAGTTTGAGGTTCGCAGCGACCCCCATCAGCTCGAGGACCGCCAGGCGGGACTGCAGCATGTCGTCCTGCATGATGTATCTGCTCAGTTTCTTACTCTTGGTACTTACTATTAATTGTTTTTCGGCGCGACCTAGTTCTTTCCCCAGTTTTAGGTTGGCAGCGACCCCCATCAGCTCGAGGACCGTCAGGTGGGGCTGCAGCATGTCGTCCTGCATGATGTAGCTGCTCAGTTTCTTGAACATTTTCATGTCTCGGTACTTACTATTATTTCTTTTTCCGCGCGACCTCGTTCCTTCCCCAGTTTGAGGTTGGCAGCGACCCCCATCAGCTCGAGGACCGTCAGGCGGGACTGCAGCATGTCGTCCTGCATGATGTATCTGCTCAGTTTCTTACTCTCGGTACTTACTATTAATTGTTTTTCGGCGCGACCTAGTTCTTTCCCCAGTTTGAGGTTCGCAGCGACCCCCATCAGCTCGAGGACCGCCAGGCGGGACTGCAGCATGTCGTCCTGCATCATGTATCTGCTCAGTTTCTTACTCTCGGTACTTACTATTAATTGTTATTCGGCGCGACCTCGTTCCTTCCCCAGTTTGAGGTTCGCAGCGACCTCCATCAGCTCGAGGACCGTCAGGTGGGGCTGCAGCATGTCGTCCTGCACCATGTATCTGCTCAGTTTCTTACCCTCGGTACTTACTATTAATTGTTTTTCGGCGAGACCTAGTTCCTTCCCCAGTTTGAGGTTCGCAGCGACCTCCATCAGCTCGAGGACCGTCAGGTGGGGCTGCAGCATGTCGTCCTGCATCGTGTATCTGCTCAGTTTCTTACTCTCGGTACTTACTATTAATTGTTATTCGGCGCGATCTAGTTCTTTCCCGAGTTTGAGGTTGGCAGCGACCCCCATCAGCTCGAGGACGTTCTGCATCATGTATCTGCTCAGTTTCTTACTCTCGGTACTTACTATCAATTGTTTTTCGGCGCGACCTAGTTCTTTCCCCAGTTTGAGGTTCGCAGCGACCCCCATCAGCTCGAGGACCGCTAGGCGGGACTGCAGCATGTCGTCCTGCATGATGTAGCTGCTCAGTTTCTTGAACATTTTCATGTCTCGGTACTTACTATTATTTCTTTTTCCGCGCGACCTAGTTCCTTCCCCAGTTTGAGGTTCGCAGCGACCCCCATCAGCTCGAGGACGTCCTGCATCATGCATCTGCTCAGTTTCTTACTCTCGGTACTTACTATTAATAGTTTCTCGGCGCGATCTAGTTCTTTCCCCAGTTTGAGGTTCGCAGCGACCCCCATCAGCTCGAGGACCGCCAGGCGGGACTGCAGCATGTCGTCCTGCATGATGTATCTGCTCAGTTTCTTACCCTCGGTACTTACTATTATTTCTTTTTCCGCGCGACCTAGTTCCTTCCCCAGTTTGAGGTTCGCAGCGACCCCCATCAGCTCGAGGACGTCCTGCATCATGCATCTGCTCAGTTTCTTACTCTCGGTACTTACTACTAATTGTTTTTCGGCGCAACCTAGTTCTTTCCCCAGTTTGAGGTTCGCAGCGACCCCTATCAGCTCGAGGACCGCCAGGCGGGACTGCAGCATGTCGTCCTGCATCATGTATCTGCTCAGTTTCTTACTCTCGGTACTTACTATTAATTGTTATTCGGCGCGACCTAGTTCTTTCCCCAGTTTGAGGTTGGCAACGACCCCCATCAGCTCGAGGACCGTCAGGTGGGGCTGCAGCATGTCGTCCTGCATGATGTAGCTGCTCAGTTTCTTGAACATTTTCATGTCTCGGTACTTACTATTATTTCATTTTCCGCGCGGCCTCGTTCCTTCCCCAGTTTGAGGTTGGCAGCGACCCCCATCAGCTCGAGGACCGCCAGGCGGGACTGCAGCATGTCGTCCTGCATGATGTATCTGCTCAGTTTCTTACCCTCGGTACTTACTATTAATTGTTTTTCGGCGCGACCTAGTTCTTTCCCCAGTTTTAGGTTGGCAGCGACCCCCATCAGCTCGAGGACCGTCAGGTGGGGCTGCAGCATGTCGTCTTGCATGATGTAGCTGCTCAGTTTCTTGAACATTTTCATGTCTCGGTACTTACTATTATTTCATTTTCCGCGCGGCCTCGTTCCTTCCCCAGTTTGAGGTTGGCAGCGACCCCCATCAGCTCGAGGACCGCCAGGCGGGACTGCAGCATGTCGCCCAGCATTATGTATCTGCTCAGTTTCTTACTCTCGGTACTTACTACTAATTGTTTTTCGGCGCAACCTAGTTCTTTCCCCAGTTTGAGGTTCGCAGCGACCCCTATCAGCTCGAGGACCGCCAGGCGGGACTGCAGCATGTCGTTCTGCATCATGTATCTGCTCAGTTTCTTACTTTCGGTACTTACTATTAATTGTTATTCGGCGCGACCTAGTTCTTTCCCCAGTTTGAGGTTCGCAGCGACCTCCATCAGCTCGAGGACGTCCTGCATCATGTATCTGCTCAGTTTCTTACTCTCGGTACTTACTATTAATTGTTTTTCGGCGCAACCTAGTTCTTTCCCCAGTTTGAGGTTGGCAGCGACCCCCATCAGCTCGAGGACCGTCAGGTGGGGCTGCAGCATGTCGTCCTGCATGATGTAGCTGCTCAGTTTCTTACTCTCGGTACTTACTATTAATTGTAATTTGGCGCGACCTAGTTCTTTCCCCAGTTTGAGGTTCGCAGCGACCCCCATCAGCTCGAGGACGTCCTGCATCATGTATCTGCTCAGTTTCTTACTCTCGGTACTTACTACTAATTGTTTTTCGGCGCAACCTAGTTCTTTCCCCAGTTTGAGGTTCGCAGCGACCCCCATCAGCTCGAGGACCGCCAGGCGGGACTGCAGCATGTCGTCCTGCATCATGTATCTGCTCAGTTTCTTACTCTCGGTGCTTACTATTAATTGTTATTCGGCGCGACCTAGTTCTTTCCCCAGTTTGAGGTTGGCAGCGACCCCCATCAGCTCGGGGACCGTCAGGTGGGGCTGCAGCATGTCGTCCTGCATGATGTAGCTGCTCAGTTTCTTGAACATTTTCATGTCTCGGTACTTACTATTATTTCTTTTTCCGCGCGACCTAGTTCCTTCCTCAGTTTGAGGTTCGTAGCGACCCCCATCAGCTCGAGGACGTCCTGCATCATGTATCTGCTCAGTTTCTTACTCTCGGTACTTACTATTAATTGTTTTTCGGCGCGACCTAGTTCTTTTCCCAGTTTGAGGTTCGCAGCGACCCCCATCAGCTCGAGGACCGCCAGGCGGGACTGCAGCATGTCGTCCTGCATTATGTATCTGCTCAGTTTCTTACTCTCTGTACTTACTATTAATTGTTATTCGGCGCGACGTAGTTCTTTCCCCAGTTTGAGGTTGGCAGCTACCCCCATCAGCTCGAGGACCGTCAGGTGGGGCTGCAGCATGTCGTCCTGCATGATGTAGCTGCTCAGTTTCTTACCCTCGGTACTTACTATTAATTATTTTTCGGCGCGACCTAGTTCTTTCCCCAGTTTGAGGTTGGCAGCGACCCCCATCAGCTCAAGGACCGCCAGGCGGGACTGCAGCATGTCGTCCTGCATGATGTATCTGCTCAGTTTCTTACTCTTGGTACTTACTATTAATTGTTTTTCGGCGCCACCAAGTTCTTGCCCCAGTTTTAGGTTGGCAGCGACCCCCATCAGCTCGAGGACCGTCAGGCGGGGCTGCAGCATGTCATCCTGCATGATGTAGCTGCTGAGCTTTTTAAAAAGTCGCATGTCCCGGTTGTGACCGTTCACGGTGATCCGACCCGTCACTCCATTCGACCTGAATATGAAATGGAATGAATATAAACATTGTTCAAGTTGTCTTACTAAAAGATCTTTTTCATCCCACCACCTCGGAAAGTGTAATTTTGCGCTTCGAAATCTGGCTGGAAAATTCTATTTTATTCGCTTGAGCGGCAAAGTAGATTTGAATTTAGAACATCACATATAATGAGTACTCAATATAATTGTAAATTCAAAACGTCATTAAACCTATTTAATGTAACCTCTATGGTGCCAAATTTATGATTAGAACTTTTTAAATTGTGAAAAAATTTAAATTTGGAACCTTCTTGGTTTCTTTGTTTTATTTGCGTGCTTCGCGCCATTCTAGTTTTTCACGTTTTATTGCTTAAATATTTTGTCATTATAAATTGTTTTCTTTTTCATTTTGTCATTTCCTCGCTGAGGTGGGATGAAAAGTTACGTATTGCACTCGAGTGGAAAGATTTTTCACCTTGTGCTCGTTTGTTTCCCTCGCTGACGCTCAGGATTCTAATTTAGAATCACTCGCTGCGCTCGTGATTCAACTTTAGAATCCTTCGCTTGCTCGGTCATCCAAATCGAGCACGCGGTTAAAAAGGAACTTTCCACTCTTGTATAATAAATAACTATTAACCGTCCTTATAATAGTGTTTCCTACAATCTGTTCAGGACGACATTAAGCTGTCAAGAAGAACAGGCGAAAGAATTTTCTCAGCTTTTTATGAAGTAAGTAGTGATATTTCCAAAAAAAAAACATTACCAATTCATTATTAAAATTAGGTACATTATTATGATAATTTTGCCTAAATTAATAGAAAACACATAATTATAATTATATTGTTCAAATGCTTTGAAAATTTTTTGAAACTTTTAAAATACCGTTTATATTTATTTGAGCATTAAAATTGTTTTTATTTAAAAACACGCGCTGGATTAACAAGTTAACCCTATTATTAGGGTTTTGCTTCGTACTATGACCTGCAAAACCTAAGCTGCGTCGATCGGGGGGGAAAAAAAATGAAAGGAATCAATGATAGTCACATATTAAGTACTAGTTGATAAAAGTCTGTTTTTGAAAAGATATCTATGTGTTGAATAGTTTTTTCATCATATAATCAAACCGCGGATACAGGCCCTTCAGTAGCACATATTTAATACAGTAAAACTCCAAAAAAATTAATGAAACTATAAATTTAATAAAATATTAGAATTGTTCGGAAGACTCTTACTAAGGACACGGTAATATTACCTATATATATATTATTAACGTGCTAAGGATATGACTTTGTGGCGAGTTGATTAGGAAATAGACAATTACATATATTCGGAGTCAGATTAATGTTGAACTATACTTGTAAAGTGAATAAACAATCAGTGAATTAACTATACCACCTTTTATTTACCGTTCCACCGTCACCACTATAACAGCGAACTCTCATAGTAACCTTATCAAAAACTAAATTATTTTATCTACTATGATAATTTTAAAGGATATTGGGCAAAAATGTATGGACGCTGCACCCACGTCCGCCACGGCTTAAACTACATTTGTTTGAAAGGTATTATAGTCATGATCATGTGTACCAAAGCGCATCAAATTCTATCCCGGGAGCCTTTAGTTATTTTAAGTTAAATAGGTACAAGTACTAAAACGAACGAACATTAATGAAACAAGGGAAATAATTTAGTCAGTGTGTCAGCGTTCATCTGCTGTTCAGGAAAACTGTGAATTAGACACGTCTTTAAAGATATAACACCCCCGGTGCGACACTGTCACTTATGCAAAAAAAAATTTTTTTTCAAGAGAAGCGTTTAAAACTTTATCATCCCAAAACATACAATGTTCAAAGGTTTTTTTTTTTAAATGAATAGCTAAGCTGTAAAAGCTTTTCGCCACGTAAAAATCTTTAAATATTGTATGTTTTGGGATGTTAAAGTTTTAAACGCTCATCCTGAAAAACAAAATTGTTTTTGCATAAGTGACAGTGTCGTATCGAAATAAAAGGACATCAGTCTAGTCATAGCTTTCTTCACCTTTATCAACGAAAAAAACGCTACATGACCAAACTGCATGGCTTGACCTTTGCCTTCCCAAAAGGGCAAAAAATAAATAAAAAAGCGGTATCTGTCAACTAAGTCAAAAAACGATTCATTGTCAAGCTCTATCAAGTACCTCATGACTTATTCTGAGACGCTACATTTGACAGCTTGCGATCTCAAAATCGACAATACAGAAGGGAATCTACATACAAAGTGCGCTCGTGCAAGCACACTTAAATACCGCTCAAGAACACGATAAGCTATCTCAGACTGCTTGGGATGGGACCAGTGCAAGTGCGGATCCATCCACTTGAGACACGCATCTGTAAACTTTTAGTGCAAAAATGGAGCAACAAAAAAGAACTTATTATAACTTGTTAATTATATAACTACTATTTCTGAAGTAACATTAAACATTAATTATCGTTTTTGAAGTGAAACTTCTATATACACTCTACTATCTAATACCCCCTGGTATTAGAATTTGCTGTCACGAAAAAGCGTTACGGCCGCATGGAGGAGGCCTCTCCGCGCGGCAGGCAGCAGGCAGGCGAAGGCAGTGTTCCAACATACATTGAATTTTTCTATTGATGTCTAATATATCAATGACATTAAAATTAAAATAGTTTACTTTTATTATTGTTTTATGTTTCCATTCTTCCTGTTTATTTCACAACAATAAAACAAACTACTATATACATACATACTACGTCTTTTTCGTGCACAAGCCAAAGTAGACAATCCTAACGCGACAGCCGAGCGTAGGTATGAAAATTGAAGTATGTGAGATTATATTCTGTACTGTCTATTTTTTGTGTTCCGATTCAGTTTAGGTTGAGGAGTTTATAACGTCGTAGTCGCAATTGAATGAATGATCAAGCCGATTGCTATAGTCTGTTTATAATGAGTTGCTACATTGTTAAATACTGTACTAATTGTGTTCGTTGCTAAAGCCTAATTATTATGGGTTAATTTCTTGCAACATTTCAATATAACAAGTAATGTAGCGCCACAAATCGGATACCACATTTTAGTTGAAACATTGTTCAATCTGCCATTATTATTATTATACTAGGGTAACGGATAGAATACATATATTATATTTATCTAGGAACGTGAAGAAATTAACATTAAACATCCATGACACACGCACAGACAGAAATAACAGAGCGCGCATATAATATAAAAATTTTCATAATCCAAATTCTAAAATGTTGGTATTCTTTATTTAAATTATATATAAAAAAAACAACTTTCACACCAATTAGCCTAGTCCCAAAGTAAGCACTGTAAGGCTTGTGTTATGGGTTACTAGGGTAACGGATAGAATACATATACAGTACATATATAAGTATATTTATATAGAAATACATAAATTAATTATCCTTGACTGGAGTATAAATGCTCGTATTCATAACACATAAACATCTGCCCCCACCGGGATTCGAACCCGGGACCTCTGGAGTCGGCGACACCATGAGACCCGGCGTACAAACCACTCGACCACGGAGGTCGTCAAATATACATAAGGACACTTTTTTCGTCATTCCTGAAGACTAAAGTGAAACAATGAAATAAAAATGTACCATCATGAAATGTCGTTAGTAGGTAGGTACCTACTTTTGCGAAAGTTGGGATGGAACATAACATAATATATTTCCCGGAAGCAACGCTGCTGTCTAAATGAAAACAAGCTCTTGAAGACACAAGATCAAAGAAAAGAACCGCACACAAAAGTACGTTATATTCAAATAAAGTATAATGCATTTCGCTCGTAAATTTAATATCTGCTAGTCTAAGAATGCAGCAATACATCTTCGCGTTTACCAGGCAAACTTTGTATAAGTATTATAACATTTTCTAGTAGAAAACGTGTTTGCACTCACGGATAAACAGTTAGATACGGATATTATGGGAGTCTAGCTTTGTACTAAGTAAAGTCTAATATGTAATAACAATTAAATCTTGTTACTAATTTGACGTCTTCCTCACCGGGTCGATGCGGGCTGGTTTCGTTTTCATTTCTGTACCGAATCTGTACAGATTATTTACCGAGTGCATGCTTAGATTAAAACAAAAAGGGTAGATACGGCACTAGCCTCACAAAAGTGATCCGCATAAATTGTGGCCCAAGACCACAATCGCTTTAGTCACAACTTGACATGCAAACGACGTACATGTGAACGCCAAAAAGAAATATTGCTAATATTTTGTGTTTATATGATAAAACAATGCCTAAGTGTGTTTTAAAAAAGTGCTCGAATTGCTCAAGAACTAAAAATAAAACCCACGGCATCACTTTTCATTCGTAAGTACTATAAAATATATTTTTTCATAAAAAATGCTGTTTGTTTTGAATCTTATTCGGTAGTGACGTCGAATACTGGTCGCGTGATTGGTCGGTAGTGCAGTGACGCGGATCTCGCCGTCTCATTCGCGCTGCCGTTGAAACGTAACGTGCTGTTTCGTTCGGGTCGGTAATGCAGTGACGCGGATCTCGCCGTCCCGTTCGCGCTGCCGTGGGATCAGTTTTTGTTTGATGCAAGGATGAGCGTACCGTATCTACCCTTTTTGTTTTAATCAAAGAGTGCATAGCATTAAATAAGAGCTTCCTCACTGAGGAAGTACGAAACCCATACAGATTCTTTACCGAGGTTAATACACAGCTCTCTGTACCGAGTTCTACCGAGGGCTGCCGAGTTTACCGAACCATAACGACTCGTCCGTCCCTTTACTCACCATCAGCCTAATATATAAATATATGTCCCCACTGCTGGGGCACAGGCTTTCCCTATTAATGGAATAGGGAGATCAGGCCATGACCCATCACTCGGACCCAGTGCGGATTGGCGGGTGTTAACGACTGCAGATGCAGCCGGGGTTTTAACGACTGCAGATCGAGTTCCTCCGTGCTTTGGAAGGCACGTTAAGCCGTTGGCCTTCCAAAGCACGGAGGAACTCGAGATAGAAAATTTTTGGTCACCCATCCAAAGTTGCTTAACTTCAACGATCGCAGCCGAACGCGCTTATCACTTGCGCCATCGAGCTCCTCTCTCCTCCCTTTACTCCCAATCAAAACTACTTGCAAACAAAACCGTAGCAAACAAAACGAAAGGATACTGCATTGACGCCGAGCCGGGCAAGAAGTGTTTTGTTTCGGTAAAGAATCTGTACAGATTTGTTTCGGTTCGGTATTCTGAACGAACAAACTCGTACCATCCCGGTGAGGAAGGCACCGTAATTAAATATATTAATTATCACTATACGTGCAATATCGGGAAAACCGTTACAGTGTAATAAAAAAATCAGCCAGCCTTACAGTAGTCGCGTATGATGTGTAACATTTGAAACCTCACCTTATATTAGTAAAAAAAGAAATAAAACCGACCGACAAAAGGAATAAGCCATTTGAACATTATGTTATAAAATCAAATCAAATCAAATAGCGCGCGCTTTCGCGACTTCCTGTTACACACTTCCATCCCATTTCACGAAATCTCTCCCACAAATTGCAGGAAAGCGAGAGGAAAGATGTTACACATCAAAAATTATAAAGTTTTTTGCAAACAAACAGTATCTTCTATAATGTTTGGATCAGAGATATTGAGTTGATGCAGCTCTTGAATATATTATATAACTGTATTTGTTGCTGCAATAGTTACGACTATATGTATCTGCCCTAATCCTAATTTTACACTGGGATGATTTGTCCCCTTGTTCCACAAATTGCCTCATCATTTTGATGCCTTCCTCAGTAGGAATGAGTGAGAACAACAAACAATTAGTAGTATTTCATACTAGTTTAGTACTATTTAAGAAATCTACATGTTTACTTATTTCGATAGGTAGTTTACCAACTATGTGCATGTGTGCTAAATATTTTTTGGAGGTGATTCGAAGAAAATGCATAATACAGTCAAAGTTCAAACTAAGAGCCTTTACGTAATCCCAGAAGTACCCATATAATAAATTTTTTTCTGAGAGGTGACGCGGAAAAATCTCCCGTGTCCACGAATAAAAAAAAAGCAGAAAAATGGTACCTACCACAAAACCTGTTGGCCATCGGAAATAGTGTTCACAGTACTCGTACTTTGGTTATAGGTTTTAGGGAATTCCCCTGAATACCTCAAGTTGGGGTGACGTTTAATCATATTTCACAGACCAACCTGTTTCGTCGAACCCGGTCGGACGGGACCGGACGTCCTGCACATCCTTACCTCCCTCATGTTGGGCTTTATTCACACGAGCTGAAATTTCCGGCCCGTATTATCGTTTGGCAACTTGGAAATGAGATGGATCTCAATAACAGTTTACCTCGAGTTGAAGTCGATTAAAATAATGAATGCACAGGCTTTTGTGATGGAAACTAAATACGAATAAATTAATTTACTTTAGAAAATAGTGTAAATTTCTTGCTTATAAATATTATATTCTACTTACTTCTGCCAAGATATTGGTAGAAACCAGATTTAATGGATCACTAGATTCTTCCCGTGACTTCATTATTTTTATTTTTAGGATGAAAAAAACTAATATCATTGTTTCCGTATAAAAGGAATCCTAAGCCTCAATGCAGGTATATAGTGTGCCAAATTTAATCCAAATCCATTCAGCCGTTTCTGCGGGATTGGGTAACAAACAAACAAACCTTCACATTTATGCGATTAGTAGAATAGGATTTTATAAGATCGTAACTTCTGTACCGAGTACTGGTGTAGGTCGTAGAAAAACATTAAGATTTATCGCTATCGGAAAAGTAACCCGTCATCATTCATCGCTAACTATATACATGCTAATTAATAGCGAAACCTTTATGTTCTCAATTATACTTTACATTTGCATTTAAATAATGGTTTTCTGTATAATGCTCGGAAAGTAATAAATACTTCAGTATAATATAATATATAATCAAGGATTAAATAACACCATTTGGTGGTAACAAGATTTAAGTGTCAAGCATTTGTTTAAGTTATTTTTTTATAATAACCGTGGCTACAATTTGAACGGCGGAATAAAACGCGTTTTCTAGTAGAATACGAAATATTTGTAAAAAAGGCGGACAGGTATATCCGAAGATTTATGGTTGCATTACTATCTGCGCGATATTAAAATTTACGAGCACAATGCATTATAATATAATATTACTGGATCGAGTTAACAGAATGAGGTTTTCTTTGATATTAATCTGCAAGTCTTTGAATTCATACTGGCAATAGTTATTTCCTTGCATTGAGAAACTTAGTATAATTATGACATTAAATTTTCTATAACATCATATTGTTTAGTTATTTTTGTTAATACTTTCTAAACAATTAAATAAGCCTTTATTTTAAGTACATGCACAACTTTATTCTATTTAGAAAACTACCGGAAATTATGCTCACTATTTTTTAAGGTCATCTCTTCGGACCGGAACTAACAACTAAATATTATCTCATTTTTCTCAATTTACAAAAATAACCGTAAATGACTTTAGTGTGTGCTTCTCTTATAATAGTTCGTGTTCTCGCGTGTAATCCGTCAGTACGTTGAGTAAAGTGGATGTTTAACTGAAACACAGACATTAGAAATAATAGGCCTATAGCGATCACATCTCTGCTCTCTAAGGTGATGGAGCTTGTGATCAACACCCGCCTTTTGAGATATCTTGAAGAACATCAGCAAATTAGCGACCGAAAAACATTTTCCGTCACAGTCTTTCGGCTGGTGATCTTCTCGTTTGTCTCAGTCTCCGCTGGTCTAAAGCCGTTGAGAGCAAGAGGCACATGTAGTGTGCCTGGATATCGCTAAGGCATTTTACAGTGTCTGGCTAGAGCACGTTTTATCGAAGTTACCATCTTATGGGCTACCTGAGGGGCTTTGCAAGTGGATATCCAGCTTCTTGGACAGCTGAGAGCATTAAAGTCGTCATCGATGGCTGCTGCTCCGAACCCATGACTATAAATGCTGGAGTTCCACAAGTTTAAGTGCTCTCTCCGACGCTGTTAATTCTGCATATCAATGACATGCTGTTAGTAAATGGCATGCCTTACTATGCTGATGACATCACTTGTGACGCGCAGTACGCCGACCACCCAAACACCTCTAGAGCTGTAGTTTCGGAATGGCTAAGCTTCTAGTAGGGGAGCCCAACCGGGGATTTTTGGATTAACTCGAGCGCGGCAGAATAACATATGGGGAGCAACCTTGCACGTAGTTAAGTACTCCCACTATACCTGAGCCATCTATGTAGGGCCGAACGTCTAGGGTACGTCGTACGGCCACCCCCATATTATGCAAATCGCGGCAGATTAATATTTTTTCCGTTCTTAGAAACATTACATGAACCCTCTAGTAGCTTATATTCAAAAGACTGACGATTTGGGCGAGACCAAATGTCATGACCTTTGTTGAAATTTTGTTTTTGCTGCCCTAGACGTTCGGCCCTACATAGAGGGCTCGCTATGGTGGGAGTACTTAACTAGGTGCAACATAAAGGGAGTACCCTATATGTTATCCCCGCTTGGGCTCCCCTATTATTGTGTCCGAATTGGTGTTTTCTCTTGAGCGAGTCTCCGAATGGGGAAGTGAAAACCTGGTCTAGTTCAACCCTAACAAGACAAGTTTGCCTATTCACTGCGAAGATAGACATGGATGGTGTCATTTACTGTCACACCACAACTGCAAGAAGTCTGGCTAAATAATTCCAATATCGTTGTCATTCTAGGTGTTGATATCTCGTGTGACATCTAGTATAGAAAACATTTAGAGGGCAAGGCCAAGCCGGCCTCTAAAAGCTAGGAGTCCATAACTGGTCTATGTAGTACTTCACGTCTATGCAAAGACTTCTGCTTTACAAAGCGTAAATAACATTCGAATTTTATACAAGAGATTGTTGATGATCCCATGCTAGCGGGAAATCTGGAGCCTAGAGCTCACCCATATTACCTGGAAACACTGAAGTCCATCACTGTTCGTTTCCAGATATATTTTATTTCACGGACAATAAAATTATGGAATGAGCTCCACGGTGTCCGTCAGTACTATATCATGGTCCTTTTAAAGAGATATATTTATAGAGTGTTCTATGCAAGGCACGGCTGTGTATATAAACTAAAAAAAAAAATATATTTTTTGTTGCTTCTCGTAAGGCATTTTGATGCTGAAAATAGTAGTTAAGTATTTGGTACTTCATTTTTGTTCAAACGTAAAAAGCACAATGTAGTGAAAATCAGTGTAGGTAATACTGTTTTTAACAGTGTAGGTGGGAACCCTACTCACGTGTAACCGGCCAGTATGTTGAGTAGAGTGGACTTGCCGGCCCCGGACGGACCCAGGATACAGGTCACCTCTCCAGACCGGAACTCGCCGGACACGTTGTGTAGGAGCCGACGCTCGCCTGTTCGGGAAATTGAAAAAAGAACACTGTAGATATGCTGACAAGTGACATACGAATTTTAGGATGTATACTGGAAAAGGGCGTATAGAAAGAGCTCGGTCAGTAGAAAAATAATTGAGTTTACTATCGCGTATGCAAAGCGTGAAAACAGAAAATATTACTAAACCATTGCAAAGAGAAAACTGTAAACATTATTACTAAATTATTGATAAATAGTGGAGCGCCGTAAGGTTTATACCTCGGAATCCAGGGCCAGTCAATAAATCTTTTTATAAACTTTGGCAATGTGTTTCTAATAGCATATAGAAAAATGTTAAAAAAAATATTTTGTGCGATCTTAATTTTTTAATAATTATTATAAATAATTATTAATTTTTTGGAGTTTTCCTTAATTTATATTAGTGTAAAATTAGATTTTGAAAAGAAGAACTATTACAAACTTCATCTTGGGTCTCAAGGGACTGCAGGTATAACGATGAAGGGTGGGGAGGGGAATAGAGGGGGCAACAGCAGCTGTTGGGTGTTGTTAACGCGGGCCCTAACAGAATAGTACACGTGGCAACTTGCTAGGCTGGATACGTAGTTGTTGTTTGCTCCGAAACAAAAATAATTTAAAATAATTAAAAAATAAATATATTATTGTGCAGTGAGTGTGATAAAAGTTAATTACTGAGTATTACAAACTTTGAAAATAGTGGCATAAATAGTAAGTATTTGTTTATTATTTATATTACATGGTTTTGAAAACAACTGTGAATATTCAATAGTATATTTTATAATAGATCGATCTTAAAAGTTAGAATGTAATTTTTGTTTAAAAAAAAAGAAATTTCCAATCCTTACATCTGAAATTTTAATTAATTGTGATATAAAGGTTAGTTATTGATATTAGTAATATTTGTTGTTACAGCCTCGTATCAAAATGGGTGAACCATCGAATAGTAATAATATAAATAATGGTTGCCTCATTTGTGACAAAATTGGATGTAGCTCTGAATTAAGCTCTGAGCTAAGAGATATTATAAAAGTCACTAGAGGAATACCAACACTGAAAGCTGCTTCTGTGGAAAGAGGGGATGGAATTTCTCAGTATTTAAATACTTTCGAATTTGTCTACGTACATTCAGTATGCAGACAAAAATATATCAATAAAGGATGTATTAATGCTTATTTAAAAAAAAAGAACACCACATCAACATGCTCTCCACCTAAAAAAAAACTGCGAATGGCTACTTCTATTGATTTTGATTGGAAAAATAAGTGCTTTTTATGTGAAAAAGAAGCGGATGAAATGAAGGAAAGAAGAAAGTCCAAATCGGTAAGACAGCAAATCAGCTACGTAACTACTTCTGAGTTCAAGCAAACTATTTTAAATTTGATAAGCGAAGAGAAAAGCGAATATTGTCGCAATATCCATAAAAGAATTGTAGGTGTGTTAGATCTAGTAGCTCAGGACGCTAAGTATCACGCGGATTGTTATATGCGTTTGAAAACTACCGTAAAACAGAGCCAGAGGGATAAAAAAATTCATCCAGTCACAATACAAGTAGATGCAGCAATGGAGCAGATTTTCAAATATATTGAAGAAAATGATGACTGCCAGTTTTCACTGGCAGAATTAAAAAGTATTGTGACAATTGATCATATTCCTGACGATAAAACGATAAAAATGAGGTTAATGAACCATTATGAGGATAATATTGTATTCTCCAGTAAATTTGGATCTAATACAATCATATGTTTTAAAAAACAACAATACGAAATATTGTCCGATAACTGGTACAGTCAGAGGTCAAAAGATGATAAAGAAGAAGAATATCGTATTTTAAAGGCTGCTGGTGAAATTTTACGACGACACATTCGGACGCAGGTTTATGATAGTAAAATGTATCCGGCTAGTGATAAAATGTTTAACCATGTTCATGAGACAATACCAAAATCTCTATCATTTTTTTTATCAGAAATAATTTTAAATGACAAAAGAGGTAAACCAGAGTTTATAAATCATTATCAAACGAAATGCGCCTCAATAGCTCATGCGATAATATCTGCAGTAAGGCCTCGTTCATTTATATCATCACTGCATGTGGCTTTAGCTGTTACTCTTCATAGAAAATTTGGCTCCAAAAAAATAATAGAAATATGTAACGCTTTAGGCTTTTGCGGATCATACAAAGAAGCAATAATTTATGAAGCTTCTGCAACATTCACAAGTCCTGTGAAAATAAAAGCAGGTACTTTTGTACAATTTGTGCACGATAACGCAGATTTTAACGTCAACACACTAGACGGCAAAGATACTTTTCATAATTAGGGTTCGATCGAAATTGTAACTCCGAGCGATCGAATAGAAACCAGGGAACCAATTAAACGTTTAGATAAGATTCCAACAGAGACAACTATTTCTGATCAAGCTCATATACCCCTTCAAATATATCCAGCTTCTGCTGGTGAAGGATTGAAAAAACTTCAAATCAAAATTTCGGAGCAAGAGCCCAATTTAACCCCCACAGTTTCTTCAAAATTGAACGTTCTCTGGATGTATCTAAAATTCAAAACCAATAATGACTTCCCGGGATGGAACGGATTCATGAATTTGTTAACAAGTACACATGATTTTGATACTTCGTCAATAATATTCTTACCATTCATTTATGCATCTCCAAGTGATTATAACACTTTGTATACGGCGATGAAAACATCAGTAGACAATGCAAAATCATTAAATATGAAGACATGTATCGTAACATTTGATCAACCTTTGTATATAAAATCGCGCGATATAACTTCAGCTATATGTTTATTCCGTCCTTACTGTTGTCCGATTGGGCTCTTTTCATACGCTAATGTCCTATATGGGATCTATTGGTTATATAATGGCTGGAAGTGGAATTAAAGAAGCCCTCTCGACGGTTTATGCCGAAAATTCAATCGATCATATCATGTCTGGATGTGCATATGCTAGAGCGGTACGTGCACATATACTCCTGCAGCTAACTTTATCTAGATTAATTTTCGATGATCTATTAAAAAATAATTCGGAATTCCAAACTTTAATTGCTGATGAGACGAATGCTAATATTTTTGAAATGTTCAATTACACGGAAATAACGGAAAATATTGGATTTCAAAGTTTAAATGAAATTTTTGAAAAAAAATTACATGATATAGAGAGTAAAAATCAAACGTCCAGATTATGGATCAGCTATTTTCGAATGGTATCAGTGCTAAAAGATTTTATTGCAGCTGAGCGTATGGGTGATTGGAATCTGCATTTACAAACTATTGAGAGGATGATCCCATACTTCCATGCATCAGGACATTTTCCGTATGCAAAGTCCGCGCAACTGTACTTGCAAGACATGCAGGAATTATCTATCCAAATGGACCCAGAAGAGTTTCAAAATTTCACAGAGGGCTATTTTACTGCTAGACGTTCTGATGTATTTTTTTCTGGAATTTCCACGGATCAAACCATAGAACAAACATTAATGAAATCTATGAGTGTTGAAGGCGGACCTTTTAAACGTGGTGTAACGAAAAGTATTGTCTATAAATGGATAAAAGGTGTTATTTTTACAAAAGATATAATAGAAGGCATAGAGGAATTTTGTAATATATCTTTTAAAAAAAGTTATCAACACGCTGATTCAACCGATGCACGAATCAAAAGGGACGACATTGACGTGAAAAAATTGGAAGAATATTTTATTCAACATCCTCCATTCCCTGATGTTGGTGTCATTATGTCTATTGCAACTGGAATAACTGGGCAAGAAAACGTGAATTGCTACGCAGCTTTTGAGCAAGGTCTAAAAATAATGAAGAAAATTAATGGAATAAATTTCAAAGAAGTTAAGTTATCAAGGAAAGACAAGATCATTCCTTTGTTGGCATCGACTAGCAAAATCAAAGTGGATGATGATATTATTCCAATTGATCCGCTGTTATTATTTCAGCGTATATGCGTATTAAAAAAATCTGATGAAGAACTAAAAAACTACTTGACTTATGAATTAGCTCCTTATCCTCTTGCTCTCTTTGAAGATGGTGAAATACGAAAAACAACAAAATCTACATTTTATGACATATTCCCAGAAGTGTCAGTGGATGTGAACGATGTACGAAAATTTTCCTACGTCATTGATGGAGGGATGTTATTACATCGTTGCAAGTGGCAATTAGATGAAAATTTCGGTACAATTTGTCAACATTATGTCAGATATCTACATAACAATTATGGAAACAACATTTATGTCGTATTTGATGGTTACAAGAAGAGCTGCACAAAATCAATGGAACGAACGCGTCGCTGTAAAAAAAACGCATGTAATGACATAATATTTGATAAAACCATGCCACTAAAAACAGCGCAGGAAAAATTTTTATCGAATGCCAAAAATAAGAGTAGACTTATAGATATGCTACGAGAAACACTCACAGAAAATAAAATATTTTCTTGCCAAGCAGAAACTGATGCCGACAGACTAATAATTGAAACTGCTATTAATCTGCAATCTGAAAACATTGCTGTAGTGTCCGAGGATGTAGATGTTTTAGTTTTATTGACTGCGCTCTCACCACCAGACCGAGAAATTTATTTTCGAAAACCATCCAAAGGCAAAATACTGCAAAGAGCGTACTCTTCTAAGAGTTTAGAAAAAATATTACTAAAGTGTAAAGAGCATATTCTGTTCTTACATGCATTCACAGGAGGTGACACGACGTCAGCTTTTTTTCAACGTGGCAAAAACGTGTTTGCAAAAAATTTCGAAAAACGAACGGATTTGCAAAATGCTGCGACAGTTTTTAAAAATGAATGCAAAGACATCGATGAAATTTTTAAGGCTGGTGTTACATGCACTCTTGCTTTATATAATGCCCCCCAAAAAACGAAAGATCTTAATGCATTGAGATATAACTCTTTTTTGAAAGCAACTGCCAAAAATACCTGCGTTAAACTGCCGTCTTTACCACCTACTGCAGATGCCGCTTTCGAA